AATTTATTAAGAGCTGCAGGAAATTGTGGAGAGACATGATCGTCAAGGTTCTGAAGAGACATGGCATATAGATTCTCTCATATCTTCTAAGTCATTTAAGGAACACATATGCTTTACAAAGAATAAAATTAGTATAAAAGATATACACGGACGCATAATTTTATTTTATTTTGTTATTCAAACCTAAAATCCCGAACGTTTGTGTGTATCTTGTTGACATTAACTGGAAGGGACAAAACTGAACACACCACACGGTCACCAGATCTGCGAGCTGACGTCTGGATGGGCTATTGCTCTGGGTTTTTTTATCGATATAGCTAAGGATGTTAGTCTGGCGACATTTTATCTAATGGCATCGAAATTCACGTGTGTTTACCGTGTTAGATTCATTGTTTTGAATTTGCAGTAGCACTTATGCTAAAAAAAAAAAACAGTGTCTTCATATAGGTGGCTCACGGGGTAATAGCCAGAAAAAAAATTTGGTAACCACTGTGTTTGACAATGAAAACTCTAGACCTGTTTGGTAACCATTGCCTATTGACAGCCCCACAATATCATATCGGATTCTTAGTCTATGTAGATAAACTGGGGCAAAGGTTTATCTAATATTACTAAATGTCTCATTGCAATCAACAATGCATCAATAAAGGAAAGCTCGGCGTAGACATATATATATATATATATATATATATATATATATATATATATATATATATATATCAAGTATGTGGTGCAATTCAATTTACATTACATGAATCATTCATACAAAAACAGATATAGAAGTTAATGATTTTTGTTTGAATGATTCATGTAATATATATATATATATATATATATATATACATATATATATATATATATATATATCGGATGTAATATGTTGATTGCTGTTGTTATTTAATAAACTACGGATATATATATACATATATATATATATATATTTTTAAAGATATTTTGTAGGTACAAAATTTAATGATCTAAATAAAAGTATAAAATTTAATATTACACGACATATTAAAAAATTAAAAAAAAACAACAAGGGGGAAGCAACCTGTTTCGATCCCGCTCTTCAGGCTTCAACGGGAGATTCAAAATTAATACAGAAAAATGTACAATAAAGGAATTGGTGGGGAAAAAAAAAAAAAATATATATATATATATATATATATATATATAGAATTTAATATTAAATTTTATACTTTTATTTCGATCATGTATATATATATATATATATATATATATATATATATATATACATCCGTAGTTTATTAAATAACACCAGCAACCAACATATTACATCTGATGCTTGCATCTACCAAATCTCATGCAACAACTGTGACTTAAAATATGTGGGTGAAACATGTAGGTCCGTAAAATCTCGTGTTTTCGAACATAAACGAGATATTCGCCTCGGAAATTTAAACAATGCTATAGTTGTACACACAACTAAAGCTGACCATAATTTTGATTCTGTGAAGATTTTAAAATATATTCATAATAAAAATCTTAGACGGATTTATGAGGCAGGCATAATATCTATCTCACGCACGGTGAATACTAGACCCGGCTTCTTTAATATTTCCCCTTTTCTAGCAAGATTAATGCTCGACAAACGTACATATAAATTTTAGATTAAAATAAAATTCTTTTCATTTTTCATTCAAAATACTCTATTTTAGGAATACGTTTTCACAACATCGCCCACGTGACGCCGACGTGATCATATTGAAACGGAACGCTGATCTTGAAAAATTTCAGTTATCTGTTTGGATTATGTCCATCGTCTTTTCATGTTGAATTAAATATAGTCTAATGTTAATTAGGTTTTATGAATATGTCCTGAAGATGGTCTACTAGACCGAAACGTCAGACGTTGACATTATATTAACATTAAAACAGCATAATTGCATATTAGGATTTTTGTTTGTTTTTCCGTATATTTTCTTCATATATATATATATATATATATATATATATATATATATATATATATATATATATATATATATATATATCTCTCCGTCGTATACGACGTATGAGGGTTAAGTAGCCCAGAGAGCAGAACATATGATTTGGTTATAGTGGTGAATGTTTTGGACAGAACCAACTACACTTTTTGAAGTGCGTTACGTGCCACAAGCTTCCCAAACAACCCTCAGCAGTTCGAGTTCGAATACCAGTCGAATCCCTCACTTACGTACTAATACCCTTGGGAAAGGTATTAATCCTCTTCTTATCTGTCCAGTTATGGGTAAAATAGCAGACTGGGTTCTATAGCCTTGGATGGCAACTGGTCTAGGAGAAGGACAACTCTGAATATATATATATATATTGAAGACCATCTTCAAGACATATTCATAAAACATAATTAACATTAGACTATATTTAATTCAACATGAAAAGACGATGGACATGAGAGTAAGACTAATCAAAACAGATGACTGAATTTTTTCAAGATCAGCGTTCCGTTTCGCTATATATATATATGGAAGTAGACAATATGTAACAGTTCGAATTTCGCTTCTAAGTCTTTTGTCTTTCTACTTAGTCAAAATGGTATAGACCATTATTTATGAAATATTAGTAAAGCATATCGTTCGGATGAATTGGGTACGTGTTGTGGTACGATCCACCTAATTTACATAGTGGAGTACCGACCATATAAATAGGGGTTGGTACCGGGAAGACGAGGGGAGAAGTAAGAAGAGATCCAATCGAGAGACTCTGCCCGACTGCGATTAAGTCAACCCATTCTACAGGAACAGTCTTCCCAAGAATATACCAAAACTAACTGTAAATATTGTGTACCTTTTCCTTGTTTCAATACATTTTGTTTACGTACATTTTGTGTTGTATTATTATTATTCCATGCTTATCCAAGCTTCAACAGTACGTTAATGTTATGTAATGGTTAACAAGCTTGTCTCGCGAGAACAATTACAGTTGAGTTCAATTCTCACAGGGTGTTCCATACTTTCGGCCTTGTGCCACATCTAAGCCAATCTTAGCCAATCACTATCGGTCGTGCGAAGTAATGAAGGAAAAAACAAACTTAAATTTTAATAGGATAAGTAATTACTTAAAATGATTACCACAAGACTCGAATCTATTGCAATTACTCTTTTAGTAAACTTCTAAAATCCTTATGCATTTTGTACCTTATATCAGGTCATCCCATAAGTTCTGTCCGAATTTTACCTTTTTTTAAAATGAACGAAATTTAAAGAGTATTTTATAATGTCTAATGGAGCTGAACATTATTTTTATGTTTAGATGCATTTAAACTGATCAAATTTTATTTCAAAGAACAATAAAATTAAATTTTGTTTGATTAAAACCCTGCTAACATGGAAGTACCCAAGAATCATTTGAGGCATATAATGCTTTATGAGTTTAAGAAAGGAAACTCAGCAACCGAAGCGGCTAGAAACATTCACTCAGTTTATGGAGAGGAATGTGTGAATGAAAAAAACTTGCAGAAGATGGTTTGCAAAATTCAGAGGTTGAGATTTCACCCTTGAAGGTGAAGATTGAACCGGGCGTCCAGTTGAGTTTGATGAAAAGCTTCCTGAAGCAGCCCTTGAAGAAAATCCTGCTTTATCAGTTGAGGAATTGGCAGTGGTTCTCAGTTCAAACCATACAACTGTTCATCGTCATCTTCAACAACTTGGAAAAGTTCCTAAACTTGGAAAATGGGTGCCTCATGAATTGTCTGAAAACAACCTCAAATCCCAAGTTGACATCTGCTCTTCTCTCCATTCTCATCAACTTGTTTCACCTTTTTGGATAGACTTGTGACTGGCGACGAAAAATGGATCTTTTATCGAAATGTTAAGCGTCGTAGACAGTGGCTTGGTAAAGGGAAGGACTGATCACAGCCGAGAAGGAACTTCATGGCAAAAGGTTCTTCTTTCAATCTGATGGGATCGCTAAGGAATAATCCACTTTGAATTCTTACCACCTAATGCAACAATTAATGCTCAAATATACTGTCAGCAATTAGAGCGTTTGAACCAAGCTTTGAGGAAAAAAGACCTGCTCTAGTGAATTGAAAAGAGGTGATGTTTCATCAGGACAATGCGCGACCCCACACAGCAAGAATCACCTCACAAAAGATCGAAGAACTTGGTTGGGAGAAAATTCCTCATCCACCTTATTCTCCCGATCTTGCTCCTTCAGACTACCATTTGTTTTGTAGCTTACAGAATCATTTGGAAGAAACAACTTTTGTAACATAGGAAGAGGTTAAAACTGACATTTGTGAGTTCTTCGAATCGAAGCCAAAAGAATTTTACAGTAATGGAATTAGTAAGCTTGTTAATAGATGGAAGGAAGTCATAGATAATCAGGGAAAATACATTGTTGATTGAATCTGTAATTAAATGTAACATTTGGTCACTTGTTTTCTTTATTCAAAATTCGGACAGATAAAATGCTTGCATATATATATAAGTACTCTCTACTACTCATAAACGTAAGTAATACGTTGAAACATTTATAAATAAACCAAAAGAATTATGTATGCATGACGGAACGACAATCTTCACACAGAGTAAGTTAAACGTTTACTCCTACAGATATCGATGCACATATTGACTCACACGCATACCATCCCATTGACGTGTATGCAGGAATACGCATGCTCTCAGTGAAAACGAGACAATGCAACTACTGCGCATGGTCTCTTCGCCTCAGTCAATGAAATACTTTCTTTCCAGTTGGGCGAACCAGATCATTTTTTTTTATCATTATTCAGAGAAAGGAAGAAAAACAGTTTGTTAGATTGTGGATTAGAGAATGTGGTAAATTGAAATAACAAAGACGTTCTTCCGCTTGGGAGAAATAGATGCGAATGCATTAAGTTTTCTTGAGCTGGAAGTAATGCATCGATAGCATTACATTGGCTTCGTTTAACTCTTGATTTTTCTCTAATATTTACTACTTTGATTTCTTTCTTTTCTATTAGTTTGTAATCCGAGAAAACGTGAAGGACTTAAAACTATGAGTATAAATAATAACACATCATTTTTCTCCCTTTTTCGGTCAATTGATAGACATTGAAAAGAAATAGATAATGAAAGGAATGAAATAAATATAAAGTAAAATGAATGTGATAGATAGATAGAGAGAGAGAGAGGGGGGGGGAATAAACGAATGAGATAGATAGATAGATAGATAGATAGATAGATAGATAGATAGATAGATAGATAGAGACACAGAGAGAAACGAACGACATAGATAGATAGATAGATAGATAGATAGATAGATAGAGAGGTGGGGGGAATAAACGAATGAGATAGATAGATAGATAGATAGATAGATAGATAGATAGATAGATATAAACGATAGATAGATAGATATATAGATAGATAGATAGATAGATAGAGAGAGGAGGGAATAAACGAATGAGATAGATAGATAGATAGATAGATAGATAGATAGATAGATAGATAGATAGATAGAAACGAAAACATAAGATAGATAGATAGATAGATAGATAGATAGATAGATAGATAGAGAGAGAGAGAGGTGGGGGGAATAAAAACGAATGAGATAGATAGATAAATATATAGAGAGAGGGGGGAACTAAAACGAATGAGATAGATAGATAGATAGATAGATAGATAGATAGATAGATAGATAGATAGATAGATAAACGATAGATAGATAGATAGATAGATAGATAGATAGATAGATAGATAGATAGATAGATAGGTGGGGGGAATAAACGAATGAGATAGATAGATAGATAGATAGATAGATAGATAGATAGATAGATAGATAGATAGATAGATATATAAACGAAGGATAGATAGATAGATAGATAGATAGATAGATAGATAGATAGAAACGAACGACATAGATAGATAGATAGATAGATAGATAGATAGATAGATAGATAGAGAGAGAGAGAGAGGGTGGGGAATAAACGAATGAGATAGATAGATAGATAGATAGATAGATAGATAGATAGATAGATGATGAGATAGATATAGAGACAGAGACACAGAGAGAAACGAACGAGATAGATAGATAAATAGATAGAGAGAGAGGGGGGGAACTAAAACGAATGAGATAGATAGATAGATAGATAGATAGATATAAACGATAGATAGATAGATAGATAGATAGATAGATAGATAGATAGATAATCAACACATGTGGCCTGATGATTGCGTTTAGCATGAAACAGTCTCTTTAAAACTATATATATATATATATATATATATATATATATATATATAT